CTTTACACCATTGTTCCTAACCTTGCCCCCCTTAAAGTGTTGGGGCTCCAACCCCCCAAAACCCCACACCCGGCCCTGCTGGTTGGGGAATTCTGGGAGTTGAAGTCCACACATCTTCAAGCGGCCAAGGTTGAGAAACACTGGTTTAAGGGAAGGACCTGGAGCATGGGAAAGGTGGTCCCACAAATAACTTGGCCTTGTGCCATGTAGACATTTAAAGGTGATAACCAGCCCCTTGAATTGCACCTGGAAGAAGACCAGGAGCCAGAGCAGAGCAACAGGATTGTAACATGGGTGCCCCAAACTGTGCGAGCTGCCTGACGTTGATGATGGGATGGTGGGTGGATTGCAAGAAAATATACAGAGTGAAGAGGAAAAAACGTTGTAGCTTAGCTGGCAAGGCAAGTGTTGATCTTCTGATCCCAGCGCCAGGATGTTAGGTAGAAGGGAGCTTGGAGATCTCTTTGGGTCCTTCTAGGCTTGTCTGAGTGGCAGGAGATTTTGGGATTCAAGTTGCTGAGGTGTGAATTGGTCACAGCCTTGGCAACTTTAAGATGGGTGGACTTCAACTCCCAGAATTCCCCAGCCAGCTATGACCCTACTCATGTTTTTCTGAATCCAGCCAGACATTGTCACCTGCTGAAGATTGCCTTTAAGAGTTCAAAAGCATTGCTTTAGTGGCTGAAGCATGGCTTCGAAATGTGGAACATCTGAGACCGGACTGGGGCCTCTCAGCTCCTGTGTCCTTTTCAGAAGGGGGATAAAAACTGAAGACCCAGAGGGACGGCACAGCTCTCCTGCATCCCATAATACAACTGCCAAGAAAATGCACGCTCTTCCAATGAAGCGTTAATCCAGGATCTCAAGGGGAAATTCTCCTTGGTGCTGAGCCCTCAATCTGCTTCGTATCTCCAATCGCGGTTGGGGAAAGGGCCAGCTCTTCAGATACAGAGGTGACTTGTAAAATTATTTTTCCAGAATTATTTTCTTTAAGTTATTATTTTTTTAAAAAAAACTGGAGGCACCCATTGAGCTGGTGCTAGGAAGCATTTTCCTCAAACACCATGCTCTTTGCATCGTGGTGATCACTAACATTGGACAATTCTACCCGAGAATTTGGTAAGTGGGTTTTGGCTCCTCTGTCATGTCAGTTGAGACTATCTTCATTTGCTTTCTGCATCAGACTTTGGAAAGAGAGATCCAACTATTTCCCTGTTTTTTAAACACCCAAATCTTTGCAAACTCCCCACTTGACTTGAGAAAACTGCTTGATTTTAAATATTTGAAAATCAAGAGATCCTTCTTTATCTTGATAGCAGGCCAGAGAGATAATGTTAAATTCTAAAGGCTCTGATGTATTTGAGTAAAACTACTTTTCCTTCTTGTTCGGTTCTGCAACTGTCTTCCTCTCCACACATCTCCGTACAAAAATCTCTGGAAGAACAGCAAAGGATCATTCACAATGTTTGATATTTATAACCAGAGAATCAAAGAACGTAAGGGTTGGAGGGGGCCTTGAAGATCAACCAGTCCACCCTCCGGCCTGTGCAGGAATCTACCCTAATCCTGTAATTTGGGCTAGCATCAATATATTCTTATATACCTGCATGGATTTATTTATTTGTTAGATTTATACCTTCCCTTCCCTCCAGGAATTCGTGACTATGTATGTATGATCTCCTCCTCCAAGTCCTACCCCACCACAACAACCCTGTAAGGTAGACTGGGCTGATTGAAAGAGAGTAAGAGAGCGACTGGCCCCAGATGAATCAGTCAGCGTCTGTGGGGGAGGATGGTTTTGAAACTGGGTCCCTCCAATGTAGTCCTACCCCTTCACCCCCCATGTCAACTTTTATTACTTGTTTTATGGTATCCTGTTTTGGAATGGCTTAGTTAACATTGTGTTAAACTAATCAGTCATTTGTTGCCTGTAAATAGCCTTCTCTTCCCAGACAGAAATATGCACTGTAGTTGTCAGCTACGATGGCTTTTCAATGTGCTGTAGATGGTGAAGGTAGTGAGAATATGTAGCTCAGGGTTGGCATCTCAGAAAAGGTTGCAATGTGCTGTAGACCAGTGTTTCTCAGCCTTGGCAACTTTAAGACCTGTGGACTTCAACTCCCAGAATTCCCCAGCCAGCCTTGCTGGCTGGGGAATTCTGGGAGTT